GAAACTTTAAACATATTTGATATCTCTTTGGGCTGTTCTTCACTCCAGTATTGGCTACATTTGATTCTTCCCTGTTCTTCAATGCCAGTCAACATAACAATTACTCTATAATTGAATTGATTCATTAAATTATAAATTAAAGCATTTAATTGTATGGACGAAACATAAATATGATTATAAGTAATTAATGAGTTTTACCTGCATTTCTGTTCGTAAATCATTCGCCAAAAATCATTCACAGTTTTCTTTTAAAGAAAACGAAACAAAAAAGTTAATATCGATTTACAATTAAATGTCAAACCAAATGATATAATGATTATTTGGTTACAAACTAAAGCAAATGGTGACAATTGAATACCTGAGTGGGCCCCTGAGCGCAGATAAATACTTTGCGTCGTTTGTATCCCTCAACAAAGTCTGCGTTTATATAATCAGATCCAGGGATGCCTTCAATTGTGTTCAATATAACCCGAGTTTGATCGTAGCTTTTAATGTCTGGATATCGATTTTTGGACATGTTTTCAGGCGNGATCCAGGGATGCCTTCAATTGTGTTCAATATAACCCGAGTTTGATCGTAGCTTTTAATGTCTGGATATCGATTTTTGGACATGTTTTCAGGCGAATCGCTTGCATTAGTGGTGCGATCGGAAAATTTTTCGGGAAGGGTTTCAAATTCTGTCAATATATTAAATGTTTTAATGAAAATTTACTAAAACTGCTGTAAATAACTATATTTATATAAAATTTATTCATTTAATGAATACCCGCTTGAAATAAGAAATCGCTATTTTGGTGGCGTTCTTGAAATATAACCGGAAGATTATGAATAGGAATAGGAGTTGAAACCCATTTATGAATTGAATTAATGTTCATATTATTAGGGATGTGTCCATTTCGATGACCATTAACTGTTCGCCTTATGAGTGCTGTTAAGCCTAACCTCTCGTCATCAGATCCGGAAGTTTCGCTCGCTTTTCGTTTAAGAAAACACAAAACCGATGAAAGAAGTACTAAAACTAAGAAGAGTCCGCAAATTGTTCCGAAGAGTATTCCGTTCGCCGATTCAGACAGCGATGAGAATATAGAAAATGTGTTATCATTGATGGGAGCCATCAAACTGAGAGATGAAGTCTCGATTGGAT